CCCGGGCAGCCTGGCCAGGGCGGGCTTTGGGTCACATTTGTGCCAGTTTCTATGCAAGAACCTTTTCCCATTGCCTTGTATTATGTTTTCTAATTTTCTACAGGAAGAAGTTGAATTCACCTTGTAAAATGAAAAGTAAAAATTGCCTAAAACATACTTCCACATTAGGACGAAACCATCTCCTTTCTGCTTGATCTAGAAAAGCCATTGACAGCATGGGAGAAAAATTTTTAGTTATGTTGTGGTTGTGTGTGTGTGTGTGTGTCTGTGTCTGTGTGTCTGCACAGTTGTGCTGGCCCCAAGAAACATTAAATTCTAAGGTAATAATAATAAAAATACAATTAAGAACTATAAAGACTAAAATCCATGTATTTATTGAAAGGAAGATAGAGACACTTTGGAAGGAGAGAAAGGCTGCCCCCACCTCTAGCCTGGCTTGTAACTGCACTGTTCCCTGTCTGTCAATTCCATCTTGAACCCCTTACAGTAAGGCCTTCTGTGTCAGTGGGTGTCTAAGCATTGTGTTTGGTATGGAGGTAGCACATAAGCACACATATAGAAAGAAGCAACTAAGGCCTGATCTGCTGTGTAACTGGCGTGTAAACACAGTAGGATGGGTCTGCGGTGGTGGCACACACTTCCAGTTCTAGCAGAGGTGGAGGCAGAGGCCAGAGGGCAGAGGGCAGAGGGCAGAGGGCAGAGGGCAGAGGTAGGCGGATCTCAGAGTTGCAGGCCAAGCTTGGTCTACATAGTGAGTTCTCGACACTGTATTCAGAGAAACCTTGTCTCAAAGAATTTAAGGGGCAGTTGCTGAGAGCCTTGGAGGGTCTTGACCAGGGACCATTGTTTGGTACTGGTGATATTGATTCCTTCTCATTGTCTTGGGCCTTCTGGAACTAGCTAAGACTTGTTGTGGGTGTAGGATGTGGTTGTGGAATGGGATGAGCAGGCCCCAAGGTACCTGGCTAAACGAGTCTCTGGGCAGCCTCAGTGCCCTGAGCAGCCAGGCTATCTGCCCTACCCTGTGCATCCTGCTGTGCAGGAAACAGCTCTCCTGCAGAATTTCTCTACAGACTTACAGGGTCTTTAGATGATTGCTCTGATTTAAATAAGATGCATAAAGTATTTGATGTTCACGAATAGCCAGGCCCTTGTGCTGATGTGATTCTTAAAAGGCTCAGTTCTCACCAGGACCCCACTTTTGGTATAGATTTTTCTAGGTTGGTTTGTTTGTTTTAAGACTGATTTTTTTAAAAAAAAAATCTAGATTTTCAGTTCTGTGTTCTGTCAAGTAATTTGAATTTAGGATTTTTAGAACCTACATTTGGACTTGCAGTTAAAAACGGCCTTTTTGGTTTGAGTTTACACAGCCAGCACTTGCTTGATTAGGCTGTCACTCTGCAAAGTGGTTCTCAGGGGGTTGGATTGAGTTTAGTTTGGTTTGGTTTGGTTTGGTTTGGTTTGGTTTGGTTTGGTTTGCTTTAATTTCAGGAACTCGGCATTTTAATTTTATTTAAGTATTCAAGCTAGAAACTATTCTTAGAATCAGCCTCCTCAAACTAACACTCAGGCATCAGAACATCCTGGTTGTGTTAGAAATAGTTCCATATTTTTAGCAACTGTGATGGATGGAAGGCTACTACTACAGATAAAAGAATTGAGTTTTTAAAAATCAGACGAGAGTTTAAGTGGGCATTTTATACCCTTCAGTCTTTTGGGACTTGGATACGGGACTAAGGGAGATTATTCCTTCACAGCAGCCTTTCTGCCGTGAGGTAGCTGAAACCATTCAAGTATCCAGGTCAGCTGGGGAGACAGGCTCACAGAGAGCACCACTGCCTCTGTTAGACAACAGTGGCTGTCTGCTTCTTTCTTCCTAAGCTGAAACTGGATTGGCTGCTAACAGCCACCATAGGAAGTAGGGGACAGCATCCCCTTGCTTTACAGAGGGACCTTTCCAGTGCAGCTGTCACAGGGGTGAGCTAACAGTACCTCAGCTCATACCCCTGTGGTACAGCACCTTACAGACACTGGCTCTTAGGGACTTTAAGTGACTTCTGAGCTCTGCTCCCTGTGGCATAACTAATTGGGCTAGAGGAGTGAAGTCTGACCAGACTGCTGGAGGCCCAGACACGAGCAGTGCATGTGTCCCTTTGCATTGCATCTGCTGTAGGTGTAAGGGGCTGTTATTGGAAAAGAAGAAAAACTGCAGTAAAGGAAGCATCATAAATTTTGCTATTGCATAGATTTAAAAACAAAAAAAACAAAAACAAAAAAACCAAAACACCACCAACAAAAAAACATACCTGAGCCAGCCTCCCTTGGGACTTGACTTCAGTCCTTGACCCTGTCTCAGGGCAGAAAGCTCTTCAGAGAGTTTCCTTTGGGCCTCATGTCTGTATGAGAAGTAACATCCTCTTACCTTCTCTCCCTGGGCCAAGGGTGGAAGAGAACACCATTCCATCACCTTCCTGTTCAACCTCAGCTTAGGACAGTGGTTCTCACCCTATAGGTTGTGACCCCTTTGGGGTGGAATGACTCTTTCAGTGGGATTGTATATCAGATATCCTGCATATCAAATATTTACGATTCATAACAGTAGCAAAATAGTTACAAAGTAGCAATGGAAATACCTTTATGGTTGGAGGCCACCATAGCCAGAGGAAGTGTATTAAAGTGTTGCAGCATTAGGAAGACTGAGAACCACTGCCTTAGAGACTCGAGGAGAACCAGAGCTCAGCTGGGTGGGCGACAACTGGTGGCTGGCCTGTTCTAGTGATATCTTTGCAGGTGACAACTTTGTTAAGCTACCTTTAGGTACTCATCAGTCTCTGAACAGTAAAAAGAGGCAGAAACATTAGGCTTAATATGGCTGTTGTTTATATATTACATTTATTTGTATTTTATTCCATTTATTTATTGGGAGTATGTGAGCATGCATGTCTGTGTGACAGAGCACATGGTGGATGTTGGGGACAGCTTGTGAGAGTCCTTTCCGTTTACCATAAGGGTTCCAGGGAATGAACTCAGCTCCACAAGCTTGACAGCTAGTACCTTTGCCCCTGAGCCATCTCCCCACTCATTTACCCATTGGTTTTGTTGTTTGAAGCAAGATTTTGCCTTTTAACTCTGGCTAGCCCTAAACGTGTGATGCCCTGCGTCAGCTCCTGAGTGCTACCTTTCCAGTTGTGTGCCGCATTGCCCAGGTTAGTAGTTATTCACAGGAGGAAACACCTGACGTTTAATTATACATCCGAATAAGGGAGTTAAGTGACCAGGTATGAACGCTGATCTTAAAGACGCGTCCTTACATTCAGCGCTCATGTCACGGTCCTAACAGCTCTTTCCCTTTAGAGTATTTTACCATTTCCAGCCTTTAGATGTTTTTCTAGCACGGTTAATTTTCCAAGTAGGGAACTAATATGTCCCGTGCTGTTTACCAGTGTCACTTTCTGGGGTCTGAAGGCTGTCTTAGTGTGCAGCGGAATGGAAAGCTGCACACTAAGACAGCTGTTGTATCCTGCAGAGGCCGCTCCAGTGAGCAACAGGACAGGAAGACCACTCTTTGCTGTGGCTTCTTCACAGTAGAATTCATATAGCCATTTTAGAGTGGGATGAGATGTTACAGTGTTCAAGATTGAATAATAAAAGGCTAGTTCAAGTATGGCACCTACTAGGATAATGATAAATGCTCTCTTGATTTTTAAAAATAAAAATAAACAAGCTACTACTGAGTGGGAGGACTGAGGAGCGGCTAGGCTGAAAGCAGACAAATATATCTGAAATGTAAACATTAAGACCCGTGGTGGAGAAGCAATGCCCTGAGACCAGTCTGTGCTCCTGAGCTTGAGAGACAGCTGCAGATGGTGACATCGGGAGTCATCATCTGGAGAAATAAGGACCGTGGTGCTGATGGGTCAAGAAGTCCATGTGATTCATTTTTTTCATCTTACTATTTATGAGGATAAAAATGGTCAACAAGGGAAACCAGTAAGTGTTTCTGTTTCTGAGAAATGGAGAGCCAACACAGAAATAAGCCACACAATCTTTAGAGTCAGAGGCACAGTCCAAGTCTCCACCCACACGTGTGTGCTGTCAGCAGTTGCAGAACTTCAAAGTGGATGCCATTTGCGCCATTAATATACAAGGATTTGCTTTTGGTCATGTGGAGTGTTTTAGTCTCCCTCGAGGGAAATGCCTACCGAATAAGACATGAAGACACTGTTCTGTGGTTGGGAGTTTTATTTAAGGACTGGTCTCTCTCTCCATTTTTCATGCACATAATATTTCATACCAAAAACTACACACTGGGCATGAGGTGAGGCACTGGCACTGTAAAGCAGTTCTGCCAGACTGGCTTCGAGACATCCTGCCACCTGTGGACAGCTATCACCATCATGAAATGAGCACCTAACTGTGGCACTTAGCCCATAGCCACTGCAGGAAGTTGTCACCTTAGGATAGTTCCGCCTGTTCCTGTCCTACTGTGGCGTGGGAATCTGCACCCAATGGCTGTCCTCAAAGTTCTAGAGAGAGTGTGGCAGAGAACCTGAGTGCCTTTTCACACTTAGTTTATTTCTCTAGACATGAAATAATTTGCTGCAGGTTATGGTGATCTGTGTTCTCAGCTCTCAGGCAGGCTGCAATGGGATTGCCACAAGTCTGAGGCTAGCCTGGGCTACATAGCAAGGCCCTGACTCAAAACACAAACTATCTTTTAAAAACCTAAAATGTGAAAGGAAGTAAGGTACAGTATCATAACCAGAGAGGATTCAGTCTTACAGGGTTGGCTTCTTCATATCCTTACTAAAGTTCCTAGCTATCCGGCCTGGTCTTGTTGATAGTTTGGGTGTAATACAGCAATGTCATCATCAGCACGACTTTCCTGCTGTCCCCCTGGTTAGACCCATTCTGTGTGGCACGAAGATAAGAAGCCGCGTGTGGGATCTTTTACCATAGATCCTAACAACAATTCTTATTCTTGGCATTTTTTTTTCCAGAGAATACTACCATGCATGTGGTTTCCAACCAGACCCATGAAATTAACAGCACCGTGAAGCCTTCAGTACTGCCAAAAACTACCATAGCTGTCACTGTGAAACCTACAACTGTTGTTAAAATATCAACCCCGGGAGTCTCACCAAATGTGACTCCCACTGCCTCAAAGTCTACACCCAAAGCAAGTGCTTCCCCAAACTCTACCCAGACATCAGCATCCACTACAACCACAGCCCACAGTAGTTTACTGACATCTGTCACGGGTATGTATTAAAATGACTTTTCTTTTTTCCTATGCTGTAAATTAGCTGTTAAATGGCACCTGAGAGCCAGCATTCCATTCTACAAAAATACAAACTTTATGTGCCTAAATCTTCCCTCACCCACACTTCAGTGTTCTTACCTAGAAATTCAGACTTCAGAATGTTTCAAATAAAGCACAGATAACTGTTTTTTCTTCTTAGTTTCAGCAACTACTCATCCCGCCAAAGGCAAAGGATCAAAGTTTGATATTGGCAGCTTTGTTGGTGGTATAGTGTTAACACTGGGAGTTTTATCTATTCTCTACATTGGATGCAAAATGTATTATTCAAGAAGAGGCATTCGGTACCGAAGCATGTAAGTTGGGCCATTCTGCATACTCTATCATGACCAATACCAGAGCTAGGCCACTGTTCTCCTCCAGGATAGACTTATGTTGTGCTTGTGTGCAGGCTTATGACTGTTTACAAATGGAGACATACCAATGAGCAAGTTTGTACTTTACCTGGGATCAGATACTGCTTTACCAGAGTTTTGCAAGCTCCTTCTGCTGGCTTTTACCACTCTCATAAGAACTGACATGCCAGGTCTCATCAATGTAGTGACTTAGTACATGTGCCTTGGATATCATCAGTACCAAAGAGTATTTTTAGTAAAAACATGTTTGTTTTTTATTTTTAATGACAAAGACACAGACACACAAGAAATTCTTCTGACTGCTTGATTTTCCCTGGTGCTAGAACTTACTGTAAGTGCAAACTGCTATAAACCAGGTGTGGTGGCCCATGACTGTACCCCTAGCTCTTTATAGTACCCTAACTTCCGAATTTTAACCTTTATGGGCTAATTTTTCCCCTCATGTGTACATGGCCTGTGCCCTGTGAAAGTCAGAACAGAGATTTGACTGTGGACCTGTTTGGCAGTCTTAACCACTACAGTATGCTGGGTGTGCACAGAACTTAATGAGCGATGATAATTTTGATTGTGAAAATTGAAATTGTTCTACTGTAACCTTTCTTACAATAATGATTTTAAATAATTTTAATTTTTTATATATTTCAGTGATGAACATGATGCCATCATTTAAAGTCCTTCAGTGATCAAGGAAAGAAGAGCGACTGCAGCCCTGTCAATTATTTTGGTTTATATTAGTTGAAACTATTATTTTCTTGGAAGTAGTAAAAACAAGACATGCATAAAATGAACAGTATATTCCATGAATATCTGGAAATTTCTCATTACTATAGGTAAAGGGCATAGCCTGGGTAAAATGAATATTTGGAGCTAACAGTAATTTATCCAGTGATCATATTTCCTTTAGTAAGTCATAGCAAGACAAGTCCTATCTTTTGGAGTATGTTCATGGCACTGATTGGTGACACAGGACCAGCATCACTGAGGAGCAGGACCCATGTGGCATACATTTGAGGAGCCTGTCACAGCATTCCCGATATCAGTGTCTTTACTGCTCACATAAAGCATTTGAGTGCCAGTCAGAGCTGGGTGATCCTAATTCCTGCCTCAGGTTCCACGGTTGAGCTAGCCAGCTTTCAAATGCAGTGGAAGGAAGCCTCAGCATTTTAGGGTTTAGATTAGAGTTCATCCAGAAGTAGAACTTGCAATCCAAACACAGCCCTGACGATCACACCCGTGCTCCTGTGCTAAAGGCCACCAGGCACTGGGAGCTTGGCTCATCATTTCTCTTCAACTGTCAGAGCTGGTATCTCTTCTTTTGTACATAATTCAGGCAAAGCTGCAGCACTCGCCTGGCTTCTCAGAAGGCACAGCAGCATGAAGACGGCTGTCATGCTGCTGTGGAAACCTGTCCCACCATTGGGAACTGCTTCCCACAGTCACTTGTCAGTTTGAGTTCTAGTGAACGTTTTTTAGGCAATGTGGAGCTGCTTCCCATATCTAGGATTTTTTAATGGATGCAAAAATGCCATTTTTAAAAAGCTCCATTATATGATTTGCCAGTCAGTGTTTAGAAGTCTATATTGACCAGCATCCTGTTTGTTAAGCCAGGAATTGTGAAGCCCCAGGCCACCGAACCCACAGGGTACAAATGCTGTATTTTTTTACTGTCAACTTACTCAGATTTGAGAAAATGACTTTTATACTAAGGTGTATTTTGGTAACCTCTGGCTTCCTTATCCCCAAGCCTACTCCTTACCCTCTGGAAAGGGAGCTACACCCTGTTGTTTCCAGGGAAGCAGCCTCAGGTCACCAGAGCAGCCACGCTGTCTGTGGCATTGTAAGTTTTAAAATTTATACTCAGGTCAAACTCAGGGCCCAGTTTAATAAAGAAGGCATTTAGTTACAAAATACTAGTATAGTATTTCTATCGTAGAGGGACAAAGTGAATTATAGCAATTTCTAAAAGTGTAAAAATAAGCCAAAAATTATGAGCGAACACACACCTATGTTACAGTTAAAAATGTAAGTATAACTTTTGTAATGTGCTTCTGGTTTTCATAAGAACACAAACTACAAAGAATTTTTTTATATATAAGAATCATTTCTACTTGCTTTACATTAGGTCCAACTGGTGAACCATGGACTGCTCAGATGATGCTAACCCAGAGGGAGATACTAGGAAAGGGACCGTGGGGTTAGACTAGTTTCAAACAAGGGCTGGTGGGAAATCCATGCTTCCCGCTGGCTTGCAGCCACTGCTCTGCTTCCTGTGGGAAATACAGTTCAGGGCCTCGGGGCAGTGAGGGCCTTGAAAGCTTAACTTGTTTTATCTGCTCCATTCTTGGTACTTCAATACCCACCAGAGATCGTCTTAAATACTTGTTTCTCTAGCACTTTGGAGATATAAACCACTTTCTTAAAGCATTCTCATTATTTGCCTCTTACATTTCCACTGAGTTGGGGGTTAAAAGTAATTTACTTAATATCTAATTTGTTACTTTCAAATACCAGGACTTTTGTTGAAGAGACTTTTTAATCTGTAAAAATTGAACATGTTTCCTAAGTGTAGTTGTCTCCCAAGTGTGACTTAAACAAATGCTTACCTTTCCTAGCTTTTCTAAAGAATGTGTTTATTAAAGTAAAACAATGAGTAAATCTATAGAAGGACTAATTCAAATATGAGAGTTAGCAACATATTTTATGGTGTGGTAATTTTATATCTTGAGAAAGACTAAAGCAATCCCTTATTGCCCTTTTTCTATTGTAATGACCAATTTTGGTATCTCATTGTTACTAAGATCTATTTTTAGAATAAAATTTGTTCTCCATTCAAAGTGATTAGTGTTTTGTTGAATCTGCCCAGAAGCTCCCCTTTTATTTATTTAATATATAATCCTGTTGAATACACAGGCTCTCACAATGGGCCAGACCTTGAATGGTTCTGCCTCAACATCGTACATTCCTTGACACAGGCTTTGGACGTTTGCCATTGTGTTCTCTCATTTCTTCAATATTCTTGGGTTCAGTCTCTTTTGCAACAGATGAACAGCCATCCATTTATACCCAAGGCCACCACCCCCACAAACACACCACACACCACAGAACAGCCATTTATTTCACACCAAGAACCAAAGATGCTATCTCTCCTGGCCCTGCATAAACTCAAAACTGTGGCCTCTACCTACATGCCTGTGCTTCAGACATGGGAGACTTCACCACAGAAAGCTCATTTGCACCATGGACCTCGAGCCATATATACATATAAAGTACAGGCTCAGCATTCAGTGAGACTTAGAACTTGCTTCAGGCCTTAGCTTCAAGGCCTAGATATCCAACATCAATGCTACTGCTTAAAAGACCTCATGCCTGAGGGCCCCGGGGCCACTGTGTTAATGTGCCTAGGCTACTAATGTTAGCTTATTCAGTCACCAAAGAACTTAGACCTCACCTTCACCCTGTAGCCACTGTGGCCATGTGCGTGCTAACATGCCCTTGTTCCCAGTTCTTGGCTGCTTCACAAAGGCTGGCACCTAAATACTTGTCAGCTCACCAGCATGCCCACTGATCCTCATAACCCTTGCTCCAGTCTCTGGATCTATAGCCACTCCACAGGCACCACACTTCAGGTGATGTCACAGTGGGCCTACTAGTTGGACCCAGTGCCTTGAAAAGCCTTAGCTATCACCTCTGGGGGCAAAATGACTCCAGCAGACATCACAAGTGAAGACCCACAAAACCCTCAGCTACTCACAGAATAGAGCTCTGAGGGCCCCTACAATATTGGCCAAACTAACCCAAGCTGCCAGCTGCAGAGGATAAGCTGCTGTTCCCCACTTGTACCAGACCACTGTACTCACCACACCTATTTATCTTCCAAGTGTGAGTCCTTTGCCCCAAAGCCATCCTATAAAAGTGTCAGTACCACTAAATGCACAGAAATCAACTAGAGATGTGAACCAAGGAGACATTGGTACCAAACAACCACCACTTCCCAGTAAATGGGAGCGCGCCAAACTATTAATAGACTATATATATATTATACATACAGGATAATCACTTTAAGGAAGATGGAACATTAAGAGATAATAAGCAGTTTAACAAAATTAAACAAGTGACGAAATGCCAACTGCAATGAATGATATGTCAGCTTCACGTGACTGTGGTGGAATGACTTGATAGCCTACAAAAAAAGGACTGCTCTTGCCTAAATTGTGTGGAAGATGGGGGAAGCTCTATCCATGATTGGTTGGCTACTTGCCTGCTTTCAGGCCTATGGCAGGGTAGAGGATCATGGAACATACAACAGAGGAAGCTGTTTCTGTGGTACCTGCAGGGCACTGGATCCAGGACTCTCCAAGATACCAAAATCCACTTAAGATCATGACTAGACTACTTAAAATACCTAGCACAATGCAAACCAGACAACAAATTGTACAGTCATCAGAGAAAAGAGATGTGAAGAAATGAAATCCTATGCAGTTTATGAGCCAGCATCACAAGTGAAAGCACTGACAGTGTTAAAGGAAGAAAAATTGAATAACAGAAACATCCCAAATCTGGAAAATTTAAGAACCCAGGACAGAAAGATCCAAAGTCACAAATCATATTTGATCCAAAATGACAGCATGACTTTACAGTCACATTGCCAGGCACTGACAGGATCCAAACACAACAAGAAAAAGATGTGTAATTCAAACGAAAGCTCCTATTTCGCCATCATGAGGTCAGTGGAAGCTGACATGTAGAAGAGTCGGTGGTATGATGCAATAGAGGTTCTGAGGGAAAAAACAAAGCCACGACTGAATGGCAAGGCTGTCCTTCAGACACTGAGAGACTCGCCAAGACAAAAGTATGGGTGGTGGCTGTCAAGGACGGAAGCTTTTCAGAGTAGTCTTGTGAGTCATTTGTCTTTAGAATTGGACTTAGAAAGACCAAGTATTTAAGATGACAGCTGCACTAACTTGTTAACAGATATATGACATGAAGATAAATTATGACAATAAAAATGGGGAGGGGTATAATTAAGTACATAATTAAGTTTATACATAATTAAGTTTATACATAATACAAGTACATAATTAAGTTTATACAAAGTGGTTATTACCTAAAAAAAATAATAACCACAAAGAAACAGTGAGTACATTAAAGATAAGTAATAAAGCATATCACCACTGCTAACACAGAAGATTACCCAGTCCCACAGGGAGAAAGCAAGAGACAAAGGATTTGCAGGACCTAAATAATTAACACAATTCCTGCCTGGCCATATAGCTTCAGCATCTGACCTGATGCTAGAGAACGGAGGTGTTTCAGATTCTGGACATTAGAATATTTACATATGCAAATGAGGTATCTTAGTGATACTGTAGGATACTTAGGGGTAATCATTTGTGCTTATTATTAACACTAGCTGAAAGAGAACTTCTATGATATTTTTAATGTGCTTTTATTTTAATTGAACATGTTATGTAAAGTCAAGTATGAAAATTTTCTCATGTCACTCAGGAATCCGAGTTGTGAAGTCTTTCAGGTGTTAAAAATAGGGATAATCAGCCTTCTGTTTAATAAATAAATATAAATGAACTAAAATCTCTAATCGAAATCATTGACTGGGCTGAGGAGATGCTCAGTGAACCAGTGATAACTATATAAGCACCAGGACCTAAGTTTGGATTCTCAGCACCCACGTAAGAGTTAGGGATAGCAGTGCACACCCATAACCCCAAGTACTGGGGAGCAGAGACAGAAAGATACAGAACCCTGCGGCTTGTTGGTCAGTCAATCTATACCCCGAAAAAAGTAAACTCTAGGTTCAGTGAGAGTTCCTGTCTCAAATACATACACAGATAGACAGACCAGAGACAGAGAGAGACAGAGAGGAGAGAGAGAGTGCGGGAGGGGGGGGGGGGGGGGCGGCGCGGGGGGGGGGGGGGGGGAGGGGAGAGAGAGTTGAGATACATCAAAGTCAACTTCCTCATACACATAGGAAGAAGAACACACACGAACACAACATTGAATGGATTTTAAAAACACTCAATTTCATGCTACCTGTAAAAAATTCACTTTGGTTTTAAAGACAAAATTTGAAAACAGTGGATATGTGATGGCTATGCTTGGTTGTCAGCTTGTCTATAACTGGAATGAATTACAGTCTAGAAGTGGAGGGCTCATCTGTGAGAGACTTTCTGCTTGCCTTGAAGTGGGTGAATCCACTTCTAGTCCGGACCTTTGAGGTAGGAAGACAGACACATCTGTGATCCAGATCTTGAGGAGGGAAGATCTGTGCCTTTAGTCCAGATTTTGAGGCAGGAGATACACTTTTGATCTGGATCTTGAGGTGGAAAGAAACTCCCTTAATCTAGGTCATGCCTTTCTGCTAGAAGCCTGTATTAGGACAAGGGAGAAGCAAGCTCTTGCTCTTTGCCAGCTTCCCTCACCTTGCTAGCAGGTCCATTCCTTCACTGGCATCAGAGTCTACCTCCTTCTTCAGAATTCCAGCATGTAGAGAAGACCCAGCCTTCTGAAACAGAACTACTTCTAAATTCTTGGACTTTCCATTCACAGCCAGCAATTGCTGGATTAGCTTAACTGCAGCCTGTAAGTCATCCCAATAAAATTCATATATATATATGCCACATTTAGATGGATCATACTAAGTTAAAAACAAGTGAGAAACTAGGTAAGCATATGATAGCAGATCAGTTGTCAAGGGAACAACGTGTGAATGTCCGCTGTACACTCATACATAATGGTGGAGATCCTTCTCACACAATGACAAGCATCAGATGGAAAGCCAGCTGGGACTTAAACTACATAGTGAAGGACAAAAAGAAATAAAAAGGAAAGGACATGACAGCTACTGGTGTGTGGTGGACGTCTGTTGTAGGAGAGCACAGCCAGACTCAGGGACATCTGGGAGAGTCCAGAGTAGACATGACCAGACTGAGGTGTGTCATATAAGGAGGGAGGGGAGAAAGAGAGGAGAGGAGAGGGGGGGACCAGTAGCCAGGAGGCTAAAGGCACAAAGGAAGTGAGTACCAAAAATGTCTGGATTATATAGGGAAGAGCCTCTGGAGAAAGGGCAGTCCAGACCCTGGGCCAGAGAGTTTCAGGGTAGAGGACAGGGAATGCTAGTCATAACCTGTAACAGGTAGGGGACTAAGGTACTGTGGGAGAACCTGTAGACTAGGGTCTGCTTTGATATGTTAAATAACACATTTGGCCTGGGTTTGATACTTAGCATCCCAGATTTTTTGTTGATAATGAATGAATAAGGGAACATAATTATCAGTGACTAGTTTCTGCTGCTATCGGGCATTGTTAGGGATTCAAAAGAACTGGAATGTTGCCCTAGGTGTGGTACAGGAGGAGTTTTTTATAGATATGTGGGAGAACATAGCCAGAGGCAGGGATACCTGGGAGAGTCCAGAGTGGACATGACCAGACTGAGCTGTGTCATATAAGGGGGGAGGGGAGGAATAGAGGAGAGGAGAGAGGGGGACCAGGTACAGCAGCCAGGAGGCCCAAAAGTACAAAGGAAGCAGGTAAACAGAATAGTTGGATTATATAGGAAAGAACAGTCCAGCTCCCTATGTTGGAGAATTCAGGGTAGAGGGTGGGGTATTCCAGCCACATCCTGTAACAGGTAGGGACTGAGGATTCTGGGAGAACCTAGGGCCACTGTCCATTTTGATACGTTAAATAAGCACTTTAATAAATTTTCCCATGTTTGAAAACTAACACATAGTAAACCAAAAGGCCTAAATTATAGTAACAAAGCAGTCCTAAAAGTCTACAGTGTTATCTGTGGAAGTTAGAATAAAATGCTCCCTTAGGTC